CTGTGTTATGCCAACTGAGCTAGATGTTCCCCGAGACCATGGTCCCCAGAGCCCTCCGCCCAGCAATTCAGTCCCTCAGGGAGTTTGGATGTGTCTATGGTGCTTCCATGACCTTTCCTTGTACAAGTTGTGCTAGTTTCTCCTGTATTGTGTACTGTCTCACCCTTCACCCAAGATACCACTTATCTATTACCTGTTTAGTATTTCGGGCATGGGCTGTTTTTCTCCTCCCCCTTGTTCTCAGTCTGTGGGCTGCCTGAGGGAAGTGTCCGAGGCGTTGCCTGAACGGCCCTCTTTATGCCTCAGGATCTGAATCCTGGAGCCTCCGTCCCAGAGACACAGCAGTGGTTGCATCGGCACCGGTTCTCCAGCTACTGTCGGATGCTGGCCAACTTCACTGGTGAGGTTGGGGTTTGCCGGGTAGGCCAAACCTGTAGGGGACCGAGGGTGGGACACTGAGGCAGGAAGCCTGTCTCTGTCTTGGCTTGCTGTGCGCCCTTCAACTAACCTTTTTTGAGGACTACAAGTTGCCAGGCACTATGCCAGGCTCTCTCCTCATGTATTACCCCATATAATTTATACACTGTCCCTTGAGGAAAGGGCCTACAGAGGTTAAATAATTTGCACAAGGACACACAGCTAACAACAGGCAGAGCTGGGATTTGGATCCAAATCTAACTTCTATGTCTAGGTGTAACACTAGGGCTCTTTGTAGACTCATGTTGGCCTGTGTTCCCTGCCTCCCACCCTTGATCCCAGGCCTTCCCTCAATCTGGCCCTGTCTGACTCTGCAGGCACTGATCTGCTGAAGCTTACCCGCCAGGACCTTATCCAGATCTGTGGAGCTGCTGATGGAATTCGTCTTTTCAATACTCTTAGAGCCAGGTGCTGGGCACTGCCAAGCAGGTCCTCTTTCCACTGTAGTGGCCCTTACTAACTCGGCTAGCAGGAATGTTGCACAGAATGATCAGATCACAAGACACCTTAAAGACCACTTAGTCACACTCCCTCTTCCGGAGGAAGCAGCTCAGGCCAAGAACAGTGACCTGCCTGAGGTCGCAAAGCAAGGCTGGCAAGGCCAGGCTGAAGTCAGGCTCCTGTGGCCCCCTCCTTCCTGTGGCTATTCCATCTACCTCACTCAATTTACGGGGGGTAGAGAATAGGTTTTTCTCATCTTTTCTACCTCCAGGTCCAACATTCATTAAGTGCCTAAGAAATGCTTGGTGATCTCCCTCCCTAGTAACCTGGGAGGAAGCCAGGGACTGTCCCAGGGATAGGGGCTAGAAGTACAATCGAGTTCAGGAATGAAGGGCTGATACATAGACTGTTTTCCTGGCCCAGGCCCATCCGTCATCGCCTGACTTTGTATGTGGCTCAAGAGGCCTCTAGGCAAGAGAACGAGGTTTCTAAGAACTCCGACTCAGGTGAGGTTCTGACCTCTCTTCTCCAAAGATGAGAAACTCAAGTGTGGCTACGTGAAACTTCTGGGGAAAGGGTGATGCCCCACTATCCTTGGGACCTAGGATGCCCTCCTTGGCATTCCCCCGCCTCCCAAGACCCGATTAGTCCTCTTTCCAGGATGTCTCCCTGGGTTTATCCCGCCGTCTTCTATTCCGTCATCCCTATCTGATTTTGTCGTTCCGTTAGTATGTGGGGTTAGTACATCATCTATTATTGTACCTGGGTTTCAGTTATTTTTATGTAGGTGTTCCATGGCCTCTACATACTGGGGGCTCCCTGAAGTCAGGGGCTTTCTCCCCTCAATCTGAGGCTTCCTCAAAGGTGAGGAATGACAGGTGAAGACTAGGTGCATCCATAAGCCTTTTTCCTTCTTTAATGTTGCCTCCCACTCCCATCATTTGTTCCCCTCCTTCCTCTATGAATGACTGTCCTCCTGGCATCCCTATGGGTCCTCCCCCCCCCCATTGACCCCTGCCTCTGTGCTGCCCACACCCCTAGGCTTTTATCAAGAAATCTCTCTGGATGAACTCAGCGCCATAGAGCTTATGGGGAAGCTGGCAGAGCTCCTGGCCCTCCCAGCCAATCAGATCCACCGCCTCTTTCACCAGGGCCCTGGGGGCATCCTCATTCTCCTCAGCGACCAGGTAAAGGGTGCTTTCCTGCCCCAAGGCCCCACGGAGGCTTTGCTCACTTCTCCACTGCAGAATTACAATAGGTCTCTCTTCAGGCCCAACATCCTTTTCCCTGTCCTAGTTTATTTTGCTTGGTTTTGTGATTTTTCCCTCCTTTATCAAGCCCACGACCCTTTCTCCCTTGTAGGTGGTCCAGAATCTTAAGGATGAATCATACTTTGTGGCTGTGGTGAAGAAAGGTAGGGGTGTTAGAGGGGGTGGAGTGTGGCTGGCTGGCCCTAGAAGGGTGAAAAGATTATGCTTATTTTCTGTCTTCTAAATGAGATTAAAAGGTTTCTTCAAGGTGTGAAGGTGGAGGCTGTGTCCCAACCAACTGGTAAACATCTGCTGAGTGCCAGTTCTGTGGCAGAGGGACATAGTTCACAGAGCTAAGAGACATGTAGAGCACAGGAAAAATGTGACTGAATAAATGCATTCTTCTGAGAAGAAAAATGTCCCAGTTTCTATCGTCAGAAAAAGTTTATTACTTAGAGGGATAGGTATGGCCCCCATTCCACTCCCCATCCCCGAACAATCATACAGGGTAGAAGGCAGGTGCTTGCTCATCACCTCCAACGAGCACCTCTGACCAGCTTTTTGTGGTCTGGTTATGCAGATGTTTGCCTCATCTCCCTCCTGCTCTGCCAGAGCTGGTCAGCCTGGTCCAGTATACAGGAAGGCTTCCTAAAGAGGTGGATTTGAAGTGGGGCTGGAAGAACACTTGGGTGCGTTGGATGCATTCCAGGCTGTTGGAGGCTTGTGGGAAGAGTGGTAGTTGCAGAGCCTGCCTCATCCCAGTGGTGCCCTTTTTTACTGTTTCCAGTGCAGAATCCAGATGGCTACTACTTGGTTCTGACATAGGCCTAGGGAAGCCCTTCCACAAAAGGAGACTGACGCCTGGCCCTCTGAGGCTGTGCTCAACAGAAGCTTTGTTAAGACCCTCAGCTGACTGACCAGCAGCATCCAGGCTCAGTTTTCTTTCGACTTAGCAGCAGTGGTCGTTGGAACCCTGGACAGACTCCCCTGCCCATTCTACTGAGCTGACCAAGCTAATGGGGCAAAAAAAAAAAACAAAACCCCAAAATCCTGGCAACATGGAGAAAGAGCTTTTGCCACGGGCAGTGTTGACTATACTGGACACTGTATTCTAATTCTTACTTAAAACTTTATTTACCACTTTTTTTTAAAGTTAATTTTTAAAAGGCATATATTTTCAATGTGTTGTACTTTCCCGAAGAAGAAATGTCTTCTTCTTAAACTACAGATTGAGCAAAGGGTGGGATCTGGGACGAGGGAAGAAACCTGTTCTGTTTTTCAAACAGTCTGGGCAAAAACTATTACTAAAGCCTATACAATACTGTAGCTATGCTCATAGCAATAAGGCTATAGGGCTGTCTTTTTATTACTTTAAAATCTAATTGAATTTATTAATATTAATATTTTATTTTTAGGTTTTAAGAAATCCATCCCTAATTTCCTAGGCATATTTTTTAAAGTTTAAATTTTAGTCTTGCTTTTCACTTTTAGGTCTGTAATCCATCTGAAACTGATTTGTATATGTTGTGAGGTAGCGATCTAGTCTTTTTTCATATAGATAAATCAACTTCATATTAAATAAGTCCTTTTAAAAAAGATAAATCGTATTGGGCTGTATCTTAATCTGTTCCTTATTTTTTCTCATCCTCCTCCCCGAAAATTTCACTACGAAAAATTTCAGACATACAGAAAAGTTGAAAGAACTGTACAGTGAAAACCCATATGCATGGAGTGGAAGATGGGCCAAGGGGACCTCTTAAAAATACCTGCATAATTATTTACTTATTATTTACCTCAGTTACTCAGTTATTATTTACTAATTATCTTTGGTTAGTCTTAAACCAAGTGGTCTCTCGCTAGGAGAGGGCAGGAAGGAGGAAGGCTCTAAACACCGGCTGAGTTAACAGATGGAAGAAGGGGAAGCCTGCTTATCCTTTGAAGTTCAAAGACCTACAAAGTGCCTTCCACAACAGTCCAGGGTTGCCTCAGTTCATATGGACAACAGAGCAGATAACTGCTTGCATTCCCTGGAGGGTGGTGTTGGCCTCAGATGACTAATCCAGCCTAGGTCTCTACCTTATGCAGAATGGGTGGATGTCAAGAAAGGCTTATGATTCCAAGGCTCCCAGAGGGAGGATAGATACTTTGAGACTTAAATTTAGGTTGCTAATTTGGCTCTACTCCACAAAATGGTTAGGAACCTCACTGCATTTACCTTTGTATCTCTCAGCACTAGGCACCTCTAGCACAGACTGGAATATTTATTGAAATAAAGGGACTAAAACCCAGCTAACACTATGAGTGTTTACTATGTGCCACTATTATCTCATTTAATCCTCACAACTCTATAAAGTAGGTACTGTTATCCCCATTTTACCAATGAAGACTGAAACGGGTTAATTGGCTGTGGTCATACCGGAGATAAATGGCATAGCAAGATTTGAACAGGAACTTGGTGTTTAACCGTTACACTCCCCCATCTTGACCCTCTCCTAGTCAAGGTAAGGGCAATGTTCTGCACAGAGATAAGGGACTTGGGTTGAAAAATCAATTAAGGCAAAAGTTTTTAGAAACTCTGATTTATAACATAATTATGTCTTCTCTTTTTCTTAGGGATAAATGGAGTTCAGGGTATTAAATAAAGACTAGGGTGTGATGATGCCTGAAAGAAGCCCCTTCATTCAGCCTCAGGAGTCTTTGTAGTTCTAGGGTTCAAGGAAATGAAGACTCACAGCTCCAAGTCAGGCTATTTCCGTAGCGAAATGAAAAGTCTTCACAGCTTATTTCCTTTAATTACATCATAAAACAAAATTAGAACATACAGGAAACAATAACAGTTACATAACAATTCATATATTTATATATAAAAACATTTTTCTTTCTTTTTTAGTCCAAAGATTTTAAAGCAAAAGAAATCCTCTACTGCCACCTTGGATTTTATTTTAAATAACCACCCCCGCTCAAGAGCCAAATAATTGGGTGGAAACACAGTCACTTGGACAGCTGATGGAACCTGGTGTTAAGTCACCATGTAGGGAACTATGTCAGCCCCAGGGACTGGCTAAGCTCTGGAGTAGGCCTGGTGGAGAAACAAGCAAGCAGCAGCTCCCACACTGAAGCACTCCAGGGTGAGCCCAATAGCTGGGGAAGGCTTAGGCCAAAGACAGGGATGTTTGGGATCAGATCCTGCTGGCTAACCACCTTCTTCTGCATTTTATCCTCCTCAGGGGAGTGGGCTTGGGGCAAGAGTTCAGGGATGAAACAGAGCCTGGTTTGAAGATAAAAAAATTTCTCCAACAGCACCATTTACCCATCCATCTCTGTCCTCAAGCAGAGTCTGACAGACAGGGGCAGTCCTCACAGTTCTCTGAGTTCTGCACAGGCCAAGTTTCTCAGGTCTGTGCTCTCAGGGTCACTGGAAGGTGGGAAAAGGAGAGCAGAGCAAGTGGGAAATGCACGTGGCAGGTTACTTGGAAACAATTCCTGGGAGGAAAAAGGAGGTGGTGAGAGTGGGCAGCATCTGAAGGGCCAAGTCAGAAAACAGGAATGGAGATAGGCAAAATTAAGAAGGCCTCTTTTCTGCTACAGTAACCCTCTGGAGTGGGTAGTCACAGATCCTCAGAAGCCAGCTCCAAGAGCCACAGCATAGTGAGAAAGAAGACTAGTAGCTTCTGATAAGCCACGTCCCATGGATCTTGTACATGTGCCAACAGGCTCTAGAAGTTAGAGGTTAGTATGTAATTTGCGGGTGGGGTGAGGAGGGGAGTAAGAGAAGAGATCTCAGACTCACCTCTTCCTGCACTTATTAGAAATTAACAGTCATCAGAGAAGCACAAATAAGAAATTATTCTTAAGGGAAGGAAAAAAAAATTGATGTAAACCCAGGAAAGCAGCAGCAAAGGTTTTGCTTATTACAGATCTATTATATAACACTAGGAAAGAAAATCAAGTCTTTAGGGGGAAAAAAGTAATTAATCAAACCATGCCAGTTAGAGACTCTTTTTCAAGTTAGGATTTTTGAAAACTTTAGGTTCTCATTCTCTAGTGTCATTTACAAAAAAAAAAAAAAAAAAAACAAAAAACCAGAATAATGACTTCAAAGGCTGAAAAGAGTTAGGCTAAGGTAAGAAACACATATGTATATGTGAGCGGCAGTGTGGTGAAGATTTAAAATAACAGGTGTAAGTAGTAAGAGACAACGACAAGAGAAACTTAGTGGGACAAAATTTTCTTCTTCCACTAGCAAAAAAGACATTAAAGATTTCTCTACGCTCTTAGGGCATGAACAGAAAAGAAAACGTATGTGTCTGGACATCTCTCTTCTCAGGGTGGGATTCTCATTTATTGCCCATCTGCTCTTGCCCTGGTATCAAAACCACCACCCCCGGAGGCAGCTGGGAAGCACTGGTGATCCTTTCAGTGGTGCCAATCCCCATCTGGTTGACACTGATTAGGTGTGTGAAAAGTAGAAGTCCTCTCTGGAACCACTGTAGTCCTTGCCAGTAAGAAGGGCATGGAGTTTATCACATGAAGAAGAAAGTAAATGTACCCACGTGAGAGGCAGTTGTATCTATATATTCAGGATAGATGCTTGTACCTGAGGCAAAACATCTCAGTTCTATAACTGGTTATCTCCTTTACTTTGAACCTCATCTACCATTTCCCTACCCTAATTCTTCAAAACAAGACCCTGGAAAACATGTAAAATAGAAAGGTCAAATTGATTAAGTTTTGAGTACTCCTGGTTCCTCTTCCTAAAAGGACAGTAGACTACTCTGGCCAAGGAAGCACTGAGACTCAACAGCTGTGAACCAAACTCTACCAAGCGTTTATTTAAAACCACATGAGGCAAGATGGAAGAAGTACATGTATGGAATTTTCTTATCAATATCCCATGTGAGCTTGTCCAACAATTTTTTTTTTCTACTGAGAATTAAGTGTAACTCTCTTGGGCTCCAAAGATTCACTCAGACTCAGCTAAGAGGCTGCTTACTAACTTTCCTAAGGATCAAATGCTTCAAAGTGGAACCAATGTTCATACGAATAAAAACAGACAAAATAGGGGCCACCTTGAGAGGGAAGCTGCAGAAGACCTTCATGCTGAAAACTCGCTTGCCTCATATGGTAGTTTCTGGGCAGGTAGAAAGTCTCTCTTAAGTGAGAGGATAAGGTTAGAGCAGATGGTGCTTAAGTAGCCCATGTTCTCTGCTGGAGAATAAAGATGTTAAGTTTGGGCTTTTGGATATAGCAATCACAACCAAATTTTATCCCCAAATTACCTGGGTTAATCGTACCCTATTCACATGCTCTTATACAGCTTTCTGCATTTTCCAACCTTACAATTAAAATTTATGATAGAAATAAAGAGAATAAAGGCAAGGAGCAGCTGGGACTCTGTATTTCCCTTCACTCTCCTATTGCTTTGGAGTTGTTTGGTCCAAGATCATTGGGAAAGTGAGGAAGAGGGAGGTCTGCCTCAAGACCACCAACTAAACATCCTACATCTCTTTGCAAAGACCTAGCTAATAAACATTGCCTGTGTTTGAGGCGATTAAAGATCCTAGAACTGGCGGGCAGATAGAGGCAATCTTTTTATAAAATGTTTTAGAATCCCAGAGTAAGCATATCACTGGAAGAGTCTGTCAGCCAGGATGCAAAACAGGGATACCTACCCTTAAATCATGTACACAAGGAGGGGAAAACAGATTAGACCAATTTTCTTTAAATACCTCCTTTTACTTGTGGCAACTGGCATGAGCAGTCTGTGATTTTCAGCACAATAAACATTAAACAGCCACGCGTGAACCATGATCCACAAGTGTTCCTTTTCTACAAATGACGTGGTCACCTAAGGGTACACTGCCCACACAGACAGGCAGGAAACCACTCTCTTCTTTCCAGCAACACTTTCACACCTCCTAACAACTTCAAACCAGGACAGGTTCCATCGCATAGTTTGTGTAGTCCTGCCATGGCAGTGGTCTATCAAACGAGTAACAATGCATTTTACAAGGCATTAGAAGAAGTGGAAGAACTTGGCTTCTGCAGTATCATAGCTACACCGAACTGTTCAAACACTTTGGAAAGCACATAATAAAGCTTTCCCTCTAAAATGTACGATACAAGAAATATGTAAAATTTCTGACTTGTGTCTCTGCTAAATCAAGTACCGTAAATGGATGTGAAAATTTACAAAAACCATTTAAGAAATCCTTTTATATCCAGAGCAGAACAGGAGGAGAAAAAAAATTTTCATATAAATAAAAACACAATGCGCTTTCATATTCCAAATATTGGAAAAAAGGCTGAAGCCAGATCCCCTTGTCATAGCCAACAGTTTGATTTCAAACTCAATAAACAAGCATCAAAGACCACTCAATGAAAAAATGGCCCAAGCCACCCGAAAGTGACTTAATTCAAAGCTGCCCAGGACAGTCTGCCTGGATCAGGACAAGGACCCAAAAAGGAAGCTACACTGGAGAGAGATGAGAATAAATCAGCAGCATCATTGGGAGTGAGATGGAGGCTTTCAGTAGAGGAGAGGATGGATGTGGGAAGGAAACAGGAGAAATCAGTGCAAAAAAAAAGCTGGAATCACCTTGATGGGGCCAATGGAAGAGGATGTAACAAAGACCACTGCAGCAAATGATGCTTGGTGGAACATGTAGTGGATGAGACTGGGGGAAAAGGCTGCTTAGAAAAGAGAGAATCTATATGTTCAAAAAATTTCTCCAGAGACACAGTAATAATTCCTCCTGGCCATCTGCAGGTTTATGGAAATAGCTTTGAGGGTACATAGCTTTGAGGGTACCTTCTTATTTATCCAAATCTCTTCTCTTAATTCACATTATGTTTTTTCATTATAGAAGGCATATTCTGGAGGGGCTATGGAACCAGACAAATGTACCAATATACCATCCCTAAGGAGAACTTTTTCTATACCTGTTAAGCCTTAAGTATTCCAGATGTTGAGACAGGAAGCATTATGTTCAGGACGCTTTCCATCTGACCAAAATTTACCATGTTCTCAAAGTCTTAGCACATTTATCAGCTGGCGTAGGGTACAGATTGGCATACAAGACACATTTCCTTCCAAGCTTGATGGGCTTGAAGTTTTCTTGAGAAAAGAATAAGGCTCCTGCCTGACTACATACAAGCCAGTGCTACACAACCCAGGGCCTCTCTCTCTCACTTGGATCTGTCCTTGGCCCTGACAGGCTGGACTTTGCCTCAACAGCAGGGATCACCCGGGCAAGTCCACATGAACCTGCATGTGGGTACACCTTTTGAGTAGAGAAACAGGATTTCTAAGACCCTTTATGTACTGGTGAACAGGATATTTTAAACTTCTTTTTTCTTTTAAGTAAAGAAGTATCTTAATAGCCTTAACAAACATGCAACTCAAATCTACTCACTAATCAATCAGGGTTTTATGGTCGGTTTTTTCAGTCACTAAAAAAAAAATCTTTAGAGCAGACAGCCCCTGACTATTTTAGTTTTGTCTGAACGAGTGACCTAGGGATCTGAATATTATCAACTACATCTGAAAATGTCAGTGTGTGTGTGTATTTGTATGTGTGAGCTATAGCCAAAATGAGTGAGTTTTACTTTAAAAAGTGTATTCCTTACAAGGTAATTTGAGAAGAAGGAAAAGGAAAAGGGGGAAAAAAAAATTAATTTGAGCTTCCCTGGTAGGACCAGGACATGACGCACTAAAACAAACCCGTTAACAGCCCAGATCATGAAGATGATCCATGGGCAAGCATCAAAGAGCACGGTGGACTGCACATTAACGTCTTAAAAGCCTCCCCACCCCAATTATTCTATTAAAAATCACACAGGGTTTCTAACCTCAGGCTTTAAAAATCTATTTCTTGTGCTTTAGAAACTCATTATATTTCCCTCACTATCTGTGATTTTTTTTTGTGGGGAGACTTCTTGGATTGAGCCATGGGCATCGAATACTCTGCCCTCAGCTCTGGTGCCCAGGCGACCAGGTGGACAGAACAATGAACCTCTGCTTCATCTCAATGCTCTGTCACAGCTGCCCCAATGTCTTCACCTGGCTACCCTTGTATTTCAATCAGGGAAGTATGGAGCAGAAGAGAGCTATGGCTGACAGGTTCTGAAAAGCTTCTGGTCTCTTGAGGATCAAACATTAGATATGATACCGTTGATACTGAAATACAGTTGCCCAGTTGTTACAGGGCCATTTCTGCATCCCTGATGAGCTGAAACGGGGGGCGGGGAGGAGGGGGGACAGAAATGGATAGGCTCGACTGCACAGCTCCTCTAGCAGTATTCCTGCTAAAGCAAAAATCTAACCTCACAGACACAGGTCAGAGATGCCACTGATCACACCTAGATTTCAGTGAACAAAAAAGTTAACGTCTGAGCTTGGGTGGTGGAGGCTGTCAGGCTGAGTTTTGGGACTTACTATTGCACTCTTTACTAATAATGTATTTCTCTCTTTCCTTATTGTTAGTGGAGTTTGACGGAAGGAAAAAATGTGCAGAGGGGAATAATGGGCATATCATGTGTATATCATATATTACAAGATATAATAGAAACCAAAACGTAAAGTTTGTTTTCATCAAAATAGTTTTAGCTCAATTTCTTCTCATAGTTTTTCTTGCTTTTGTTAGTTTCCTTTTAGACTGGCAAAGATTCAGGCAGGGTCCCCTAGTGGTAAAATTTAGAATTAAAAAAATATTTACTGAATATGTCTCTTTTAAAAAGTCTGGTAACCCCAACTAGTCATCCAAAATGCCAACTGTAAACACAACAACAGCAAAAGAGTAACAACTGAGTGTGAGTAAGCAGACTGAAGAGGTGAAAGACTGAGCAAGAGTGCAGGAGAGGGAACAGAGAATGGAAGACAGGTGCACTAGTGTACTAGAGAGTGACAATTTGAGTGAATAAGTAATCACATTTGGACCACAGTGATTTCAATGCAACCATTCAGGAAACCTCTGGGCCAAATATTAAAATACAGAAGGAATGGATGAGCCTTCTTTGTGAGCATGCTTAGCATGTTGGCATGGAAACAATGAAGCGCAGAAGCTCTGCAGTCATTTTCCAGTGGATGGCTGCCATTTCTAAGATGCAAATAAATTTTCTTTCTGGTCCCTGGATACCTCATATCTTGTTTTTCCATGCTTTCCTTGACCCTGGAGGACTGCAGCTATTGTTCCAAAATCCCCAAAGAAACCTCTCAACAAAATAAACAAACTGCAGTAGCAGTAACACTGGATTTGCTGGAATGCCCCCTTCCGTCTACCTTGGCCTATGATTTTCTTCTGGGCGTGTCCAACAGGAATGGTTAAGTTTTACCAATCCACTTGATAAATAAACCAGCACAGACTTCAGTCCCATGGTCACAAAGCTAGAGTGGAAGGGGGTGAGGGCATGTATGTGTATGTAGATGTGGTTCTGGGGATCTGGACACTGCCCTCACTTTGTAACTCTTGCCCAGAACACTGGGGTCGCTTCCACTGGAGAGACTCCACGGTAACTCTAGAAGTGTCATTAAATACTCAGTTCACCAAGGCTGACCACCTCCATTGTCATAGGATGATGCAGCATCTGCAGAAGCGCTGTCTGCTGCCCCCTACTGATGGGGGTGGAGTGACAGGTGCGAAGTAGGCGTGGACTTTAATATTGGGTAAATGGGTCTGAAACAAGACAGAAACATTACTAAGAGAGAGGGCTTCAACAGAAAGAGCAATGTTGCTTTTCAGAAAATCCACCGAAGGGCTGAACAGACATGAAAGCAGGGCAGAGGCTGGGCAACGGTCAGGGAGTTGAGAGGTCTGCATTCTACTTTGCAACATGCCAAGTTGTTCTAAATGACCAAATCAAGCTCACATAACTTTGTTTGATACCTGCTTCCATAATTATAAAACTGGGGGTAAATATCATACCTATCCCAAAGGGATTTACAGAGGATAAAGACACAACTTGAAAGAAAGTATGAAAGCTTATCTTCTTCCAAGTCATTGTGGACAATGCTTTTTCTATTTAAAAAAACTCATTATTTTCTTTTAATAACATGCTTATAGTTTTACTACATAAATAGTTTCTGAATACCTACCATATTCAAGGCACTGTGCTAGTTGTAAATAAGAGTGGTACAAAGATGGTCAAGATGAGGATCCTGCTCTTAGGGAGTTTATAGTCTACACATGCATATAAAAAGTGGAAAAGTGCTAAGTGACTTGAAGAACAAATAAAGACTCCTAGGAATTCAGAGATGGAAGAGATTCTTTATAGCCAGGCAGGTCCAGGAACCCTAGTGTAAGCAGGCCATATATAAGAGGCTCCGGTTGACCTGTGGCTCTTCTCTTTTGGCGTGGAAGAAATATGAGGTAAGAGGAGGAACTGAGGCCAACTGGAATTCAAGATGAGGTCTCGTGCTCCTTTATGTACTCTGGGGTCATATGAGCATAGTGGATTTTTCAGAGATTGGTGGGATGGGCCTAACTAAGCACAGTGCCTTCCCCACAGCAAGTGTTAAGCAGATGCTCCAGTAAACGTCTGTTGAACTGAATGATCTAACATATAGAGCCATCCAGCCTTTTACAACCCTTTTCGCTGAGCATGAATCTCTCCAGTATGGAGGATGGGAAAAAAAACAAAGCTGAAGTCTAAATGATCCATTTGCTGTCTTAAAAAAAAAAAGAACCCCAGGAAAAGGGTTTGATTTGATGTAAAAGGAAATACAAATTAAATTCTTAAATCCCACTTAACCAAATATTTTATGTTACTTCTTTCTTTCTTGGCATGTGCTTTTTTTGACTTGGGGATGTTATTAAGCCCTGGACATTATCAGAGTCTGCTGGAAGGAGACCTACTTTTCTTCCCTTGAGTGGGTATTTTCCTACTAAATTTCCATCTGAACCACAGCTAAAAACCATCTACCTTTAGGTCTGCTACCCATTTTTTTTTTCTCCTGGCTAAATGTCTTAAGTAAACATAAAAATCCCAGGACTCTAAATCTGGAAAAAAAGAAAGAAACAAAAAAATTTAAAAAAGGTGCTGAGAACACCAGAGCTGGAGAGTGATGCAGCCATCTTTACCCTGAGTCTCTTGATTCCGGCCCGTGTGATTTGCTGGCAGTCATAGAGTTCTATCCGCTCGAGGCTGTGACAGCTCTTCAAGTGCTCCAGGGATGCATCCGTGATTAGTGGGCAGTTGTCTAGCTCTATCACTTCCAGCTGGTCATGGGCACAGGCCCCATTTCCCAGGTGACGAATTCCATCGTCTGTGATCAGCTCACAGTGAGACAGACTCTGCAGCCAAACAGAGCAAGGAAGGATGCTGAAATATCTCATGGCATTCCTCTAGCCAGAGGTCCGTGTAAAATCAGAAGACAGACCTTTCTGGTTTGATTTTGATGAATATGGAGCCATCACTAGATCCATTTGATGGGGGAAAAAAAAGGCAAACTAGAGTTCTGGGGTTCTGCTTTTGGCAGTCAATGATGGACTTTTTCTGTGTGTGATTCCGACTATTTTTTGCGAATTCAAGTAATGACTGTGAGATAGTTCATAAACAAGTAAGCCTTAAAAATTATAAATTATAGCAAAATAAAAACCAACATTTTTCTTTTATATAGTACTGCTGTTGTTGTGTGTCTTTGAGTCAATTCTGACTCACAGCAACCCTATAAGACAGAGCCGCTGGTGGGTTCAAACCGCCGACCTTTCGGTTAGCAGCCAAGCGTGTAACCCCTGCACTGCCAAGGCTCCTTCTAAAGGAACTAGTGGGGCTCAAACTTTCCCTACATAAAATTTTCTGGAATTTGGGTTAAGTACTGAATCCCTGGTGCAGGGGCATGTCTACACAGTTCATTGACTGAGGACAATTCTTATAGCTACTAGGTGTGGTCATCTCTTCTAGTCCTATTTCATCAATTTCCCTTAAATCTTTGGTTCCTTCATGTGAAACTCAGAATGCTTGACCTCATTTTGTATAGTATGGTACCAACAAACTCATGAAAAAGTCTGGATACAGAATAGCTGATGAAAATGCCTTCCAGTAGTGTCACTGGAAGGAGCAGAAAACAGAATTCCCTTTACTGAAGCCTTCGTTGGTTTTGTTTTATAGGAATACTTGGTTCCAAGGTGAAGCAAATTGTATTGTGGGCCATCTCACGCCCTCGGTCTCTAGGAACTTATGCATCATTCAGGTTGGGATGTATTTCATGAGGGAGGGGGAACTCATACTCTCCATATCAGTTTTCAGTCTCCAAGCATTAGTATAGAAAACATTGAACTTTTCTAATTCCTATCTCAGTTTCCCTCTTCACTCAGGTCCTCCCTTGGTCCTCTTTAAGTCAACAATTTGGAGAAAAGTCCCTTCCCAAAATTGTAGCCAGACACTAAGAAGAAAGTAAGAGCTAACTATAACAAACTACAGTTTTGATTAAATTCAACAAACACATAATACTTTGAAAGTCAAACTCACCAATACTTGAAGACGAGGACAGTGTATAGAAAGTTGGATTAACGTGCTATCTGTTATCTGAAAGAAACAAAAAAGTTTATTTTAGGTACATTTTCAAATAAAATCATAGGTCTTACCTCATTCCTAACTACATTTCTATCCTGCCCCCCCGATAATCATCAAATAACAGAATTTTAAGATTGAGAACTCATCGGCTACTTGAACCTGTTCTGTAAGAACTCACCCACTCTAAGCATAAACACATCTAGTCATCTTCAGTCTTTATCTTTGGACAGCCCTGTTCCAAATTCTTTTGTTTTTGAAATCTGTCCCTTTGTAACTCCCACCCAGAGGACTTTGTCCTACCTCTTTGAATGAAAAGATAGTTTCATGAAAAACAATTAATGTAGGAATATCCACAAATCTTTAGATATTTGGCCTATATTTTATAAGATATGCTACAAGTCAGAACTGATAACTTGGGTGGCAGTTATTTTCCCCAAGGATGGTAGAAAGGGACTACTGGAGTATCGGTTAAATAAGAACACTCAGGTAGGAAGGACAGTCTTTCACAGTTATCTTACGACTGAAAGTAAATCATCGTTTCTTTTCAAAATTCTCTCCAATGCTGAGATTATTAGTTTTTACTACACATAGCTTCACAAGTGCTAAGAAATGGGGGAGAGGGCGTGAAAAGGGATCTGCATCACTCAGAAGGATGAAGACTTTTGGAAAGGACACAGGACACTCAGGCATGTGTAAGGGATAGATGGATGTTTTAGTTTAGCTGCTAAGTAGTATCTGGACAGCAAATAATTAAACAAAAAGTGGCCTCTATAGCCCCAGAGGAGCCCTGGCAGTGCAGTAGTTAAGAACTCAGGCTGCTAACCAAAAGGTGGGCAGTTTGAATCTACCAGCTGCTCCTTGGAAACCTTATGGGGCAGTTCTACTCTGTCCTATAGGGTCACTATGAGTCAGAATTGACTCAATTGCAACAGGGTATAGTCCCAGAGCCCTGGCAGCGTAGTGGTTAAAGAGCTTGGCTGCTAACTAAAAGGTTGGCAGTTCAAATCCACCAGCTGCTCCTTGGAAACCCTCCGGGGCAGTTCTACTCTGTCCTATAGGGCAACTGTAAGTCAGAATCAACTCCATGGCACAACAGGTTTTGCTTTTTTTATAGTCCCAGAGAGAAGCCCTGGTGGCACAGTGGTTAAGCATTCAGCTTCTAACCAAAAGGTCGGCAGTTTGAACCCACAAGCTGCTCTGCAGGAGAAAGATGTGGCAGTCTGCTTCCGTAAAGATTTCAGCCTTGGAAACCCTGTTCTACAGGGTCACTATGAGTCACAAATGACTCAAAGGCAATTTTTTTTTTTTTTTTCTGGTTTATAGTCCCAGAAGTATCTTCCCTTCTTTATTTCTACCATTAAAAAAAACTCTGCTGCAAATGGGAAAAAATATTTTTGAATCATATATCTGATAATGATTTAATATCCGAGAATATATAAAGAACTCATACAATTCAATAACAAAAAGACAACTCAATCAAAAAATGGGCAAAAGACTTGAATAGGCATTTCACCAACGAAGAATACAAACAGCCAATTGTTGTTTTGTGCCGTCAAGTTAACTCTGACTCATAGTGACGCTACAGGACACAGTAAAATTGCCCTATAGGGCTTCCTAGGTTGTAATCTTTATGGGAGCAGATTGCCAGGTCTTTTCTACTGCTGGTGGAGCTAATGGTGGGTTCGAACGGCCGACCTTTCGGTTAGCAGATGAGTGCTTAACCATTGTGCCACCAGGGCTCCTTCAAAATGGTCAATAAGCAAATAAAAAGACGCTCAACATCATCAGTCATTAAAGAAATGCCAAATCAAAATAATAAAATACTTCATGCCCACTAAAATGGCTATGATTAAAAAAGAGGGAAACAAAACAAGTTAGGTGAGCTTTCTTTACTTACTAGTATCATAACTCTCCAGGTCTAGGGAAACATTTAAACATCTTCTTCATGGCCTGAACATCTGGGCCTCTTTCTCTGTAATGGCAATCTTATTGAAGGCACATATTTTCATTTCTACCACTCGTCTGTCAGTTTGTTGTACTGTGGAGGCTTGAAGCTATGCCACAGGTATTTTAAATACCAGCAGGGTCACCTGTGGTAGAGAGGTTTCAGCAGAGCTTCCAGACTCAGACAGACTAGGAAGAAGGACCTAGTGATCTACTTCTAAAAAAAATTGGCCAGTGAAAACTATACAAATAGCAGCGGAACACTGTCTGATGCAAAAGACCTCTTTAAAGTGTAAAAAAGCCAAGATGTCACTTTGAGGACTAAGATGTGCCTTACCCAAGCCATGGTATTTTCAATTGCCTCATAGGCATGCCAAAGCTGGACAATGAATAAGGAAGACCAAAGAAGAATCAATGTCTCTGAATTATGGTGTTGGCAAAGAATATCGAATATACCATGGACTGTCAGAAGAATGAACAATTCTGTCTTCAAAGTACAGCCAGAATTCTCCTTAGAAGTGAGGATGGTGAGACTGTGTCTCATGTATTTTGGACATGTTATCAGAAGGGAGCAGTCCCTGGAGAAGGACATCATGCTTGGTAAAGAAGAGAGTCAGCGAAAAAGAGGAAGGCCCTCAACGAGATGGACTGACACAGTGGCTGCAAAAATGGGCTTCAAACACAGCAACAATTGTGAGGATGGAGTAGGACTGGGCAGTGTTTTGTTCTGTTGTACATAGAGTCACTATGAGTTGACAGGCAACTAACATTCTTACACCTCTTTTTTTTTTTTTAAATTATTATTGTACTTTAGATGAAGGTTTACAGAACAAACTAGCTTCTCATTAAACAATGAGTACACATATTGTTTTGTGACATTGATTACCAAACTCACGACATGTCAACACTCTCCCCTTCTTGAACTTCGGTTTCCTATTACCAGCTTTCCTGTCCCCTTCTGCCTTCTAGTCCTTGCCCCTGGGCTGGTGTGCCCCTTTAGTCTCATTTTATTTTATGGGCCTGGCTAATCTTTGGCTGAAGGGTGAACCTCAGGAATGATTTCATTACTGAGCTAAAAGGGTGTCTGGGTTTTACACCTCTTTAACATATATCATGAGCATCTCACCCTTGCCTGGTATGTCTGGAGGGCACTTCAGTGGGTGGAGGTTCAGCAGTGCTACAAGAACTATACAAGTGCCCTACACTAGAGTAGGAACTTGAACATTCTGATGTGTATGTATTACGCACATTTCTATCACAGTATATTTCTGAGTAAAAATCCACAATCCTACCTGAACACACTCTTCCAGGTCCATCTTTTCAAGTTCATGGCAATTCTACAAAGTATAAAATGAAACACTAAAGTGCAAACATTTAAAACATGGGGAAAATTCAAGGCTAGAAAACTAAGAGGTAGTATTAAATACACTGATGAATTTCAGAGTTGTTGCCATTCTAATGTCACGTCTGTCTTATTCTATTAATAATAACACCTTAAAAGACCTTGATGACAGTGGGATTTCTCAATTACTCCATATTTAAAGTATCTAATATCTTACAAGTCCAAGAGAATAAATTTGCTGAGTGTTAATACTGGGCTAATAGAGAATCCTTTCAACTCTAACTAATTTAATTAAAATTATTTCTTTGGGAGAGAGCAAGGCAAGCTTTATGTACTCATTTAGTTATGCCATGTGCAGGCCCCACTAAACTGGTGTTCCATCACTCTGCCTGAAAGCAAATGTTCTTCCCCATGTTTCATTACATTGGTCAAACACAGTATAATTTTAAATACTATTATTATACAGTAATTTATAAACTACTCTAAGTACTAAAATATCCTGGCGAATACAGAAACTTCCTTATAACCTCTCCACTTAAAGCCAAGATTTTATGTTTCTTTCAACATCAGTCTCATCCACCACACACATACCAAATAACCAAGTCAACTGTTTGGCTATTTCTTTCACAAAGCACCAGAAAGTCCCTTCTTAGTTTAATTTATTGTCTTATGAAACTGTGGAGAATCAAGTCTCATGAAGGAGCAGCATGTTCTCAAAGCACGTGTGCATTTTCAGAGACGTAACATGAGAATGCTTAGGAACATTAGCTGTAGAGGAGTTCACCCACGTCTCATGCTGCCCTGCCATTCCTCATCTCCCTTGCTGCTCATTCTTCTGAAATAAAAATCCAAAATAAACCTATGGAATCTGGAGAAAATACTTACCCTGGCCAGAGTGGTAAAGCCCACATCTGTTAATTGAGAACACCTTGCCACTTCTAATATTCTGTTAAAAAAAAAAAGCGCAAGTCAAGTCCTTGGTCACCGAAAACTGGGTTTATTTAAACAGCAAGAATTTAAGAAAACAACCTCCTGTTCCCTAAGGACTACATACATACTACATAGTGATATTAACAGCTAAGCAAGTCTATATACAGCTCTCTTCATTCATTTTCATGGGGTCATCAAAAAATGGTCCTGTAAATACCACCACATTTCAGGGTGATGCAATCAAAGAACACAGAAGAACATAAAGGAAGCTTGTAGTTAATGCCAAAATGCATGAGAAATGCATTTAAAAGCCTTCTTGATGGCATACTGCTCACCCCCAGAGGGCAGCCTGCTCCTAGAAAACAAAGGAAATGGAGATAAATACCCTGTTTCAGTTAATCTGTTGCCAAAGTAAATTATTCTTTTTCCCTATTTTATATGTAGGTTCATTCAGATTTAAACAGCTTCTTAAAAATACTATAAAGGGACTGTTCAACTACAGGTCTGTTCCAAATATGAAATTCCATACTTATATATAAAAAATACCCTTAAGCTTCCTGCCTCCTCCAGATTCTCAGGGAGGCCCAAAGGAGAGGGAAACTAAGCAGGTAGCCACCTGCTTGTTCAATAACTGCTAAACACCACCTAAATACCAACCACTGGACCAGGCAATCAAAAGTAGCTCTCTTCCATGAAAAGTCTGGCGACCTCTGCACAATGGTACCAAAGAATATTTATTTACATGTTTGCTTACAAATTACTTATTATAGAAGTTGAAAAAGATTAAAGCTAAAGTATAAGAAATCATTTATCAACTAAAAATCAATCAGAAATGAATGCTGTATCTAATGGGAAAGCATGATCTGAATGATACAAATTTTTAGTATCATATTTAAGAACCTTTCCATTCTAACAATAAAATGAACTATAAAGGAGGATGGAGCTGAAGATCCCTCTCTTAAAACAGAAAAAGGTAATGTGTAATATTTTTAGGAAGTCCCCGAGTAGTGCAAACAGTTAATGAGTTTGGCTAACGGAAAGATTGGAAGTTTGAGTCTACTCAGAGGTGCCTCGGAAGAAAGGCCTGGTGATCTACTGCCAAAAAAATCAGTCATTGAAAACGCTAGGGAGTACAGTTCTACTCTGACACATATGGGGTCATCATGAGTCAGGAATGACTCAACAGCAACTGGTTTTTAATATTTTTATAGTGGAGTGTGGTTACCTCCTTAGCTCCAGAGAAGTACTCTACTCCAGGCTTTGTTATTACTAATTTTGACCAACAAGTCTATGTTCTATTAAGGGATTTTGACACTGTACGCAAAGCTTCTTTTGACAATTATGTTTAGGACCCCTGACAACGTGATTATGAAAAAAAGTTTTAGAAACTTTTATTGGTTTACAACGCTTATTATATGTAAGACAAATGGTTTCATGGTCTCTGGAGTCCAAATCCTTGCTCCTCCACTTACTAGCTAGCTATAAGACCTTGAGCAAGTTACCTGACCTCTTAGTGCTTTGGTTTCCTTACTATAATATGGAGATGAAAATAATGGTTATATCATGTTACAAGGATTAAATGAATTAATGTTTGTAAAGCACTTAAAACAATGCCTGATATATACAGTGAAACCTCTGAGAGCTGGAACTTGATAGGACTGCCTTGTTTTTCCAGGTTTTGCAAGTTTTCCGCCTTATCACTTTTCTATCACTCATTTCAGTGGAAAATATTTGAGTTTTCCTTCTCTGACAGGTTCCCACCTTACACAGGTTCCAGCGTTCGAAGCTTCTATTATAATAAATACTACATACATTTGCTTTTAAAAACGAAAAAGGTATATGGGGATCATCCCTACTCATTACAAAATAGTATGTTGTGTTCCTAGAGAATCAATATGGGATTGAAATCATGGGCATGCTACACAGCATTCTTAAATGTTCAGCTAATACCATACTGAAGTAGAGAGCAAGAGTCACAGAGAAACAAGGCTTAGTTCTAAAAGATCACCAACACAAAAAGGTCCTCCTGTAGAGTGTTTTTTTCTGTTTAAATAATCTCCTGCTATATACCTGGCAAGGAGACACAAAAAGGTTCTTCTGCGGGTTTGTTTTTTAAACACCCCACTCCTATGTCCTGGCAAGGAGCCCTGGTGGCACAATGGTTAAATGCTCAGCTGCTAACCAAAAAGTCGGTGGTTCAAATCCACCAGCTGCTCTGTGGAAGAAGAAATCTGGCAATCTGCTCCTGTAAAGATTACAGCCTAGGAAACTCTATGGGGCAGTTCTACGCTGTCCTACAGGGTTGTTCTGAGTTGGAATTGACTCGATGGCACATACAAAAATAAAACAACATGTACCTGGCATCATTACTACAATAAAAATGACCACAGGGTGGGCCTTTTAAAACTTCCTTCAGAAAGGAAATATATGAAAGCATTAGTAAGATAAAATGCCTTTATTTCTTTCTCAAGTAATGAAATAAAATGCTGTTTTTCTCTAGTATGAACAGCAAGAAGTAGAATATGGGGATTGCTACCCCCTGGTTCATACCAATTACATGTAATCAAATAAAGTACAATGCATGTAGGTATGCAGCTGAAAGAACAGTGGCCTGATAGTGTCTACCTTAAAATTTCAAGGTCCCAAGGAATAAATATGGATGAAAGAGGCTTCGGTTCCTTTTCGTTATTTTTTGAGCTAAACAAAAAATGTTTACCTAAGCCGTGGGCAGTTCTGACCTAGAGCATTCAGGATGGCATCTGTGATGTTGGAGCAGCCGGAGGCACAGAGAGACTGTAATTTATGGCACCCTCTGCATATAGTAATGAGACCTTCATCTGTGATTTGCTAAAAAAACAAGAGCAAAAATACCACAGATTTTAGGAACTCAGCAGAAATAAAAGAAGGAAAAATATTACATCTGTAAAAACAAGCACCAAAAAGAAATCAGGGCAGGTTTAACATTAGTCATGTAGCAGACCTAAAAGAAGATGAACGCATTTTGTTTTCTCCTTTCAGTTTCTTCTGATTTAGTTTGCAAGAGAATCTGTTTTTGGTGTAGAGGCAAGAAGCTGTAATGGGATTCATTTAACTTAATGAGACTGGAAATAGCACGGGGTGCGTCACGGTATAGGCTCAGCTATACGATTTAAAAACTTTTGTGTGTTTTAAAAGTAGAACCCTTATCTAGAATACAAGTTACAAAAGCAGCATTTTAGTAAAAAAATATATTTACAAGTTTAAATTGATACTGATAAGTTAGTAAAAAAACATGAAACAAGCTATGGATGACAACTGCATCTATTTTATTTCTGTATTTTAGTTTTACAATGTAAAGAACATCCTATTTTATGGGGATGAACACTTATATCCAAACAAAATATAATTTTGTATATGTTTTAAATTATTTTAAAAGGAAAACAGAACATACATTCAAAGATATTACATATAAACATCTTGATATTTTGGATACTATGAACACTTTCATTTGTCTTGTCAGAGTCACTAATTTTGTATAGGCCTCAGAATAAAGCTCTCCTGCCATTTCTATTTAATCAAACAGTATCCTTAGGTTGCAAGGATAACTGAAAAAACTTCAAACTTTTAACATTCACGGCTTAAATCAGCATGTTCTCAATATCATGCAACCAAAACAAAATATAAATACAAAATAGATGCTAAAGCAGATACCAGGTTTGTCATGAGGTTAAAATAATGAAGCATATACACACGTTGAAGTACCAGAAAAAGCCCCAAACAAATGTGACTAGACAAGGATAACTGACAGCTAAAGGGAGAAGCAGTAATCAATAAGCATGCAGGCCAGTGGAACTTGTGCCACACAGTAGGAGAAAAGCATTATAGGGCTGTGCTGCCTTTTCCTTCTTATGTTCTAAAGTCTATAAAAGATTTACTGAGCAAGAACAATGAGGAAAGTTACACTGCCAATACTTTAACCTAAATATTAAAAACAGTAAAATTTACTAAAATTTTACTTTTGAGAATAAGAGACTAAATCAAGAATGTGCTTAAGTCACTTCAATAATTTTGGGTAGCAATATGAAGTCTCGTGAATGTTGAGAATCATTTATCACACTGTAGGGAAGGAACGACTTGTGTACTAAGATTTGGGTGAAGGAAAACAATAAAATACATATGACAGAACTAGTTCTTTATGCTTACCAACTGTGATTCCTGCCTGCTGAGAAAGAAACCAAGCTAAACCTGAAAATGGTATGTATGTATTTATGTGTGTGTGTGCAAATATGCAATATGTGTGTGCATAGTGTATATTAGTGAGTCGATTCTGACTCATAGCGACCCTATAGGACAGAACAGAACTGCCCCAACAGGATTTCCAAGGAACAGCCAGTGGATTCCAAATGCTGACTTTTTTGTTAGCAGCCGAGCTCTTAACCACTGTGCCACCAGAGCGCCTTATGTAGTGTATAATTTATATAAATTTATATATATACATGTATATAAAATGAAAGTCAGTCATATCATCTGAAGATGCCAAAGAATAGTTTTTTTCTAGCACATAAGACAATGGTTTCATGTTTACAATAGTTGTGCTTGTTATCTGTTATTATTGTTACTGTCAAGTTGATTCTGACTCATGGCAACCCCATGTGTCCAGAATAGAACTGCTCCATAGTGTTTTCAAGGGCGTGACCTTTTGGAAGCAGATCACCAGGCCTATCTCCTGAGGCACCTCTGGGAGGATCTGAACCAACAACCTTTTGGCTAGTAGTCAAGAACTTAACAATTGGCACCACCCAGGGACAACCTGCTATTAGAGGCATGTATTTCAGTCCCATAAATGAGATTAGGGAAATCTTGGTACTAGTATTTGGTAGTAGTATTTACGGTGATGAGAATTAATAAGGAATGTCATTCCTTTAACTCAATCTCCAGGTGCCTCCTAAGCAGATCATCACAGCACTATCTCTCAAAGGACAAAAGGACAGGTCACTTAAATTGTATAAAATGTGGGCTTTCTGCTTGTGGACGCCGCCGAGGAAACATCATTATAGTGTTTCTTCCCACTGCCATCATGTCTAAGTCAGAGTCTCCTAAAGAGCCCGAACAGCTACAGAAACTCTTCATCAGAGGTTTGAGCTTTGAAGCAACACATGAGAGTCTAAGGAGCCATTCCGAGCAATGGGGGATGCTCACGGACTGCGTGGTAATGAGAGATCCAAACACCAAGCGCTCCAGAGGCTTTGGGTTTGTCACTTATTCTACTGTGGAGGAGGTGGATGCAGCCATGAATGCAAGGCCACACAAGGTGGATGGAAGAGTTGTGGAACAAAGAGGGTTATCTCACGAGAAGACTGTTAAAGACCAGGTGCCCACTTAACTGTGAAAAAGATCTTTGTTGCTGGCATTAAAGAAGACACTAAAGAACATCATCTAAGAGACTATTTTGAGCAGTATGAAAAAACTGAAGTGACTGAAATCATGACTGACCGAGGCAGTGGCAAGAAGAGGGGCTTTGCTTTTGTTACTTTTGATGACCATGACTCTGTAGATAAGACTGTCATTCAGAAATACCATACTGTGAATGGGCACAACTGTGAAGTAAGGAAAGCGCTGTCAAAGCAAGAGATGGCCAGTGCCTCATCCAGCCAAAGAGATCAAAGCGGTTCTGGAAACTTTGGTGGTGGCCGTGGAGGTGGTTTTGGTGGGAATGACAACTTTGGTGGTGGAGGAAACTTCAGTGGTCGAGGTGGCTTTGGTGGCAGCTGTGGTGGTGGTGGATATGGAGGCAGTGGGGATGGTTATAATGGATTTGGTAATGATGGAAGCAATTTTGGAGGTGGCGGAAGCTACAATGATTTTGGCAGTTACAACAATCAATCTTCAAATTCTGGACCCATGAAGGGAGGAAACTTTGGAGGCAGAAGCTCTGGCCCTTATGGTGGTGGAGGTCAATACTTTGCCAAACCACGAAACCAAGGTGGCTATGGCGGTTCAAGCAGCAGCAGCAGCTATGGCAGTGGCAGAAGGTTTTAATGACTTCCAGGAAACAAAGCTTAGCAGGAGAGGAGAGCCAGAGAAGTGACAGGGAAGCTACAGGTTACAACAGATTTGTGAACTCAGCCAAGCACAGTGGTGGCAGGGCCTAGCTGCTACAAAGAAGACATGTTTTAGACAATACTCATGTGTATGGGCAAAAAACTTGAGGACTGTATTTGTGACTAATAGTATAACAGGTTATTTTAGTTTCTGTTCTGTGAAAAGTGTAAAGCATTCCAACAAAGGCTTTTTAATGGTTTTTTTTTTTTTTTGCACCTATGCTGCTAATTGCTAAACGTAATAGTCTGATCATGATGCTGAATAAATGTGTCTTTTTTTAAATGTGCTGTGTAAAGTTAGTCTACTCTGAAGCCATCTTGATATAAACTGCCCCCACAGTGTGAAGTTTAGAATTCCTTCAGGGTGATGCCCGGTTCCATTCAGAGTTTATTTACAACCTTAGAAGACTGTTCGGGGCAGAGAGAAGCCATTGTCTTCAGAAACGTTGGTGTAGTTGAACTGATAGTTACTGTGGTGTGACCTGGAGTTCACCATTAAAATGGTCACCCAAGCAAAATTACAGAATTTATTTGGTTATAAAAATGATTGTTGGCACATCCTATGCAATATCTAAATTGACTACTGGTACCAGATAAAACTACAGATGGGACTGAAACTTATGTATTATCCATTATCATGTGTAATCAATAAATGATTTAATATTTTGAAAAAAAAAATTGCATAAAATGTGGACCTTTATATATCACAGTCCTTGGTTGCTGCAAAGGTCCCTGGATGGCACAAATGGCTTGCACTCCATTACTAACCTAAAGTTTGGCAGTTCGAACCCACCCAATGGCTCCACGGGAGAAAGGCCTGGTGATCTGCTTCCATAAAGATTACAGCCAAGAAAATCCTATGGAGCAGTTCTACTCTGTGACACATGGGGTCATCAAAAATCAGAATCAACTCAATGGCAATGGGGTTTTTTTCCTCTTTGTGTGGTGCAAATAGTTAACACGCTTGGCTGCTAACCAAAATGTTGAAGGTTTGAGTTTACCCAGAGGCACCTTGGAAGAAAGGCCCAGTGTTCTACTTCTGAAAAACCAGCCATTGAAAACTCTATGGAATACAGTTCTACTCTGACACACATGGGGTCGCCATGAGTTGGAGTTGATTTGAAAGTAACTGGTACTGGTATTATATCTAACCCTTAAACTAAATAACCACTTTGCTCTCAGGTTCCAAGTGATCAAATAAAAAGCAGAAGGTATAAGGAGAAGGTTTAGCACAAACAAGGAAAACCCTTATCAACTATTTTTTATTGCTATGAGGAGCTCTCACTCATAGGAAGTGTTCAAGGCAACAAAGAAATGCTAAACGTTTACTGTCAAGGTTCTGGGCCCCTTGAGTAGTTTCAGCAAGTTCTCTGAGTAAAATGCAGGGGCTTGGGGGAAGACAAAAAACTGTATGGTCTGAACAAAGCCAAATGCTAACTAGTAACACTACCTGACAATAATTTAAACAGTACACTTTGCTTGCCAAGAAGCCCTGGTGGCGAAGTGGTTAAGCACCAGGCTGCTAACTGAAAGGTCAGCAGTTCACATCCACTAGCTGCTCTGCAGGAGACAGATGTGGCAGCCTGCTTCTGTAAAGATTTACAGCCTTGAAAAGCTTATGCGGCAGTTCTACTCTGGCCTATAAGGTCGCTAGGAGTTGGAATTCAACTCAAGAGTAATGGGTTTGGTTTTTTGGTTTTAGTTTGCCCACCATCTGTTTAGATCAGTAGTTCTCAATAGTAGGGTTGTGACACACTGACACATCTTAATCGATTATAAAGTGTGACTGCAAATAATTTGTTACCAAAATATTTTAAATACTGAAGTTTTTGAATGATTTATTTTTAAAAAGTAGATAGTTGTCTTAAGTAGAAAAGAAAGGGGTGAAGTTATAGTTATCTCTAAGTTATCTACCTACCATACTGTTTATCTTATCTATATCAAAGACTCTAGGCATGACTGCTGTCAAGCATGTAAAGAGTCATCTGTGTGTCTACTGTGTCCCCAGGATTTAGGTGGAAAAACCACTGGTCTTAATGACTGAAACTCTTACAATAATACTACTGAAATGAATTACTAATACAGAATAGTCATGGGAAGGACTGCTTACTAAGCAAGTCTGCAAGTTCAAAGTCACCAGGTCAGGACAGTGTGTACCTATGTACTTCAGCGCTTCATCTTCTAGCTAGAAAGATAAAAAAGAGAGAAAAAATAATTATTGACATGGTTTCAAAGGAGAAAGATTTCCGAATTAATACATTCATCAATACAGTCTAAATATACCCAACCAAATTTCAAAGGGAACAATGAACCAGAAACATTAACATGTTTATCAGTATTTTTTATTAGTTCTGACCATATCAAAATCATATTACCACCACCAAATCAAGGAAAATATGAAATCAACATTTCCTAGTGTTTATGGATTTTGCTTCTGATAAATATGCCTCACAGCATTTTGCTGAGGAATAATGAAGGGTATGACAATTTTCATATTTTCACACCTCCTATGAAGTTTTTTAAAACAAATTTTAGGGAGCAGGAGCTGAGAAAGGAATCCACAGTGTTTATCTGCTGCTGGAAGATCAGTGCCATGCTTACAGTGCTGAGAACAGATGGCAAGTAATTGATTATAATGATTCATTCCAATCAGTATTTTCCAGGATTCCATAAATAACCAGAAGCTCAAGCTGTTGTTGTAAGGCAGTCAGACTTCCAAAGCTCTACTTTAAACAGTGGTCCCCCTCCTACCATGGTAAAAGAATCATGGCATTTTTAATGGAAACTAAAGCATGATTTTAGTAACCATTGATAAAATAATAAAAATCTAGCCTTATATTGTCAATCACTTCCAGATCCATTCTTGATCATTTCCTTTCAGATGCTACCTAGTCAATTCCTCTTTTTCACTGTAAAATACTGAGAAAGTAACATTTTTAATGACAAAGCATGTTGGATTTGTAATGCAACTGGCAGGGAATAATCATCAACATTGTAAAATGTAGGCAGCTGTGTACTTGGCACATTAAAGAAAAATTTCCCGTGGTTAAACAACTAATGGAAATTGCCAAGACTGCTTTCCCTTGCCTATCGTTGAAAGTCTCAGGTAGTAACAACATAGGAAGTTTTCTTTTCAGTACAGATTAAATTGCAGGAAACCTTTCTTGCCTATGGTGTATGCTCAGTGTGATCTTTATCTCCTCACCTTGCCTCTCCCCAAAAATCAATCCTGCAAGGAGATGTTTATCTAGGGTCAGATGTTAATCCTTCTTATATTCTTTTATTCCAAGGACAACACTTTAATTTTCAGTAATCATGTGTCTTTGGTCAATAATATACAACAACTAACATTTCTCTCAAGCTAACACCTTGAGGCTGCTTACCTTGAACTCATGGCTTCTCTGACTTTCATAAGCACTATATGGAGTATTACCTGTGTGCAGCCTTTCAAGAATAAGGCCTTGAGACCCCCACAGCCTCTCACTAGTGCTTGGATGCCATCCTTGGTTACTTGGTCACACCAGGAAATGTTCAGTTGCTCCAACAGTGGACATCCCTCACTTAGGATAAAACAAAATGAGACAAACATATGACTAAATCCAGTTCCAAAGGCATCAAAGTTTCATTTTATTGGCTATTTAGAAAGGAATGGATACAGGTCTATTCCCTCCCACAAGAACATACATATTTACTTTATGTAGATTTAGAATATAGGCAATCCCACAGCAAAAGAAAAGTTAATTCACCAATGTTTGTGGTGTTCATGTGGTGCTATATCACTAGTGAGGCCATCTCAAATCCAACTTAACCAACAAGCAAAAGGTGTAATATTGTTTTTCAGATATATTAGATTTTTATGGAGCTTTATACTTTCCAAAATATTTTTATATTCTTTTTGCACTTATCATATATGTCAATGGTCTCTAGATAGGAAATAAAATTAAATGACTTGTTCAAGCTCACAGAGTAATTAATAAAGAGTTCAGATTCAAATCCAGATTCCCTATCAATTAATTCTATTACTTATCAAAGTAATAATGAGGACTTTTAAATTTTTATTTAAAAAAATTACAAAGGATCTATATATTTTCTTATCTGAGAAGTTTCTAGAATATTATTTCTGTAGGCTGAATTTAGGCTATCTTGTATTCAATCTCTGCCTTTTATCATATACTAGATTCACCTTTGACCTCTTCTGCTCTTACTAGTTTAGTTTCATACCTGGAATATAAAAGAATTCCAAGCTTTCTATGACATTCTTTGGAAAACACCGCTTAAATTGTTTTAAATATTCCCGCCTCTGGAAAAGACCCAGAATATAAAAGCCAGGAGATCTAGGCTCTTTTGTTCTTCAACATTAATGATGTGACTTTAGGCAAGTCACTTTAGGAAACCTGTCTAGATCTCCCTTAATTCAAGACTAGCCAAGGTAGTCTTTCCATATTCTCCCAAATCGATGTACTCACTTCTATTAATATGATGACATGTTTAGTATTGGTTTTTTTCTCCCACTAGACTCTGAGCAACTTAAGGGCAGCAATAATACCTTATTCAGTTAAATACCATGGTTGCATCTCAGTACCTGGCACCTGAAAGCATAATCTTGATTTTTTTAATCTGTAAAATGTCTGTCTTATCTACTTCATAAGGTTTTACATAAATGAGACCACATGTAAAAGTATCTTATAAACTATATAAAGTTGTTCTACATATGTGCTCAATATTCACAAAGATCTACAAGTAGTATTTTTAGATAACTTACACTCTACTTAACTAAATCAATATTTATTCTTAAAATAGCTTAACTCTTACTATGCATAAATGGACCAATACATGAGACCATAATCCTTTATAAAAGGTTGATTAAAAGATAAGAGAATGAACATTTCAGCCTCCTTTTAAGATAAATCTTCTATAATATACTTAAAAAAATACATTAACATTAAAATAATTAACATTTACTGGGAGCCCTGGTGGCACAGTGGTTAAGAGCTCAGCTGCTAACCAAAAGGTCGGCAGTTCAAATCCACCAGTTGCTCCTTAGAAATCTTACGGGGCAGTTCTACTTTGTGCTATAGGGTCGCTACAAGTCAGAATCAACTTGATGGCAACAGTTACTATATGCCAGATACCATGTTAAATACTTTATATACATTATGTTGAACTTTTATATGACAAAAACTGTCAAATGTTGGCAACTTTATATGGTTCAGTCTAGTATTATCTCGTTTAATCCCCAAAATAGCCTTATGAGATGATGAGGAAAAGCTCAGAAGGGTTATATGTGCTCGAGGTATCTGGTTAATAATCTGACTCCTGAACTCTGTTTTAATCACTATGCTATGATGATATGTGCCTTTTATTTTTTTGGAAAACAAGCTATCAGAGAAATCTAGTCATTCATGTATAACTGTACTACTCTACACTACCTTTTTTCATACATCCTAGTCATTTCATCTAGATGTGTCCTATAATTCAGGCAAGCAGTAAGACAAAAGATCTCTTCTGAACTACAGTGCATATTCATAAAACACAGATGCCTTTAATTCCAACTTCATTTCAGTTATTTTAAAAAATGTATTTTTTCTAATTATTGAACATGCTTATTAAAAGAAAGTTACCTCAGAGCTTTTAGAGACATGTTTGTTATTGACGTACAGGAAGCCAAGTCAAGGTGTCTGAGTTTGGAACAGAACTTGCTAAGGCTAGTACACGTACTGAAAAATGGAAAAAGGAGAAAATAAAGAATGAACAAAATCAGAACACATCCTTAGTATACTATACACCATTCTGACTAAACATGTTTGCATATGTAAGAACTGTAAAATTTCCATGCCCCGAATAAAAGCAGTTGTAAATCCTGGAACCTTTCACATTCAGGAAGGGGCAGATAACCACTGACATAGAAGAAAGGCTGTGCTGTATGTGAGAATTTGCATGAGGGAAAGGTGGTGCTTGATTCACATTTGGAAATGTTAACAGCTATTAACAGTACATTACACATGTGTGCTCTAAGAGATCTACATGCATTTTGCAAATCTAGAAACACCAGAAAGCTAGCTAGTACCTGCCATCATGTGGTCAAACATGAAGACTCAAAAGTTTTGTCTCTGCTCTTTCACTTAAATCTCTGTCCAAGATAACCTTTTGCATGGCAGTAATGAAAGAACTGGATTTTTACAAGGTATACAAAAGATGGACTGGTACTGGGCTTAAACAAGCTAAGTTATGAAATATTGTCACCCACTTTCCTTATGAATTTCTTAAAGACTCTTTTTCCACAGCGGTCAAATTCTCAGTTTTTTAAATTTAGTACTAAGAAAAATTTTAAATATACACAAAAGAAGGGTAAATGGTATAGAGAACCCACATGTATTATCATTAAGCTTTGGTATTTAATATTCTGCTATTTTTGTTTCATCCATTCCTGTTTATGCTCCAATATTTTAAAGCAAACCCCAGACATACTATTTCACCTGTAAATATTTCAGTACACATTTCTGATAGGGACGTTTAAGAAAACACAACCATACCATTATCACACCCAACAAAACTAATAATTCTTTAATATCATCTGATACTCAGTCCGTGTTGAATTTTCCCCTATTATCTCATGAATGAATGCCTTTGACCAAATCATTTGTTTAAACTAGGATCCAAACAAGATCTGTACATTATGTTTGGCTGATAGATCTCTTAAGTCTCTGTGTGGACATGTTTCCATTTCTTTTGTGTAGATTTCTAGGAATGGAATTGCTAGGGCTTAGTATATACTAAGTCTGGAGCCCTGGTGGCGCAGTGGTTAAGCACTCAGCTGCTAACCAAAAGATCAGCGGTTTGAGCCCACCAGCCGCTCTGCAAGAGAAAGATGTGGCAATCTCCTTTCCTAAAGATTTACAGCCTTGGAAACCTATCTGGCAGTTCTACTCTCCTACAGTGTCACTATGAGTCGGCATCAACTTGACAGCAATGGGTTTGGTATTTTTTTTTTTTTTAGTAGTAAGTTCATCCATCACTTGTCTGTCAGTCTGTCATACTGTGGTGGCTTGTGTGTTGCTATGATGCTGGAAACTATGCCACAGGTATTTCAAATACCAGCAGGGTCACCCACGGCAGACAGGTTTCAGCAGACCTTCCAGACTAAGACAGACTACAAAGAAAGGCTGGTAATCTATTTTTGAAAATTAGCCTATGAAAACCTTATGGCTCACAACAGAACATTGTTCAACTCACTTGTTTGGATCACTAACCAAACCAAAACCAAACCCGTTGCCATCTAATCGATTCCAACTCACAGTGCCCCTATACGACAGAGTAGAACTGCCCCGTAGGATTTCCAAGGAGCGGCTGGTGGATTCAAACTGCTGACCTTTTGGTTAGCAGCCAAGCTCTTAACTTTGATCATTACGAGGGATCAACTGCTAGAGGACATCATTTTTGGTGAAGTAGAGGGCCAATGTGGGCGTGAAAGACCCTTGGTGAGATGGACTGGCATAGTAGCTGCAACAATGAACTCGAACCTTCTGGTGACTGAGAAGACAATGAAGGACTGGGCAATGTTTGTTCTGTTGTACACAAGGTTGCCATTAGTTAGAGTTGACACAATGGTAGCTAACAACAACATAGTAGGTTTAACTTTTTAAGAAACTGCCAAAATGTATCATTTTACATTCCCAGCAGCAATACATGAAAGTTCTAGTTTCTCCACATCCTTGCAAAACTTGGTATTGCTCTTTTTTATTAGAGCCATTTTAGTGGGTACAGAGTAGAATCACATTATGGTTTTATTTTGCAATTCCCTGATGACTAATAACCTTGAACACATTTTCATGTACTTATTAACCATTCATATGTCTTCCTTAACAGAATGTCTATCCAAGTCTTTAGCCCATTTTTTAATTGGATTTTTTTGTCTTATTACTGAAATTTATTCTTTAATATTATTTTAAAATTTTTTATTGCACGTTAGATGACAGTTAACATAACAAACTAGCTTCTCATTAAACAGTTAGTATACATACTGTTTTATGACACTGATTAACAACCCTATGACATGTCAACACTCTCCCTTCTCAACCTTAGGGTTCCCTATTAACAGCTTTCCTGTCCTCTCCTGCCTTCTAGTCCCTCCCCTGGCCTGGTATGCCCCTTTAGTCTCGTTTTTGTTTTATGGGCCTAATTTTGGACGGAGGGTGAAACTCAGGAGTGACTTCATTACTGAGTTAAAAGGGTGTCCAGGGGCCATACTCTCAGGGTTTCTCCAGTCTCTGTCAGGCCAGTTAAGTCTGGTCTTTTTTTGTGGGTTAGAATTTTGTTCTCCATTTTTCTCCAGCTCTGTCTGGGACCCTCTATTGTGATCCCTGTCAGAGCAGTCAGTGGTGGTAGCCGGGCACCATCTAGTTGTACTGGACTCAGTCTGGTGAAGGCCATGGTAGTTGTGGTCCATTAGTCCTTTGGACTAATCTTTCCCTTGTATCGTAAGTTTTCTTCATTCTTCCTTGCTCCTGAAGGGTGAAATTTATTCTTGATACAAGTATTTTTTTTATCAGATGTATGATTCACAAATATTTTCTCCTGGTCTGTGTCTTTTCATTTTCTCAATGATGCCTTTTGAAGCACAAAAGTTTTTAATTTTAATGAAATCCAGTTTATCAACTTTTTCTTTTATAGCTTGTGCTCTTCATGGATCTAAGAACTCTTTGATTAAGCAAGATCACAAAGTTTTTCCCCTATGTTTTCCTCTAGGAAATTTTAGTTTTAGCTTTTACATTTAGGTCTCTGCTCCATTTTGAGTTAATTTTTGGGTATGGTGTGAATTAAGGGTCTAAGTTTTTTTTTTTTTGGGGGGGGTATGGATATCTGAATGTCCCAGCATAATTTGTTGAAAAGACTATCATACTTTCCTCATCGAATTATTTTAATTATTTGTCAAAAATGAATTGACCATAAATATAAGGGTTTATTTATATTGCTTTGGGCTTAGTTTCTCATTTCTTTTCTTTTTTTTTTATAATTTATTTTTTATTTTTTACTGTATTTCAGGTGGAGGCTTACAGAACAAATAATTTCTCATGAAACAGAAGTACACATGTTGTTTTATAACATTGGTTAATAACTCCACAACATATCAACCCTCTAACTTC